ATAAGTTATTTTATTAGTAAATAAAAATAAAAATTAATACATGGCTATGTTTTAAATGTCTTCTAAGTCCCTAGTAACCTGTCTATCAGGAGGAATGCAGCCTGTTTTTAATGATCTGGGGCATCTGTGTTTTGGGCTTTGTAATAAAGACTGGCCACAGATAAGTACCTGGAGATACCTTTCTTGGTAAAAAACAAAACCAAAATAGCACTTTACCTTTTGTAGTTATTTGCCCCTCATAAAAACATGAGATACCAGATTCACAGGGTGCTGCAATGTTGCTACTTTCCTAGAGATCCCCAGAGCCTGGACAGTTTTCCCAACCTTCAGAAAGTCATCTATTCAAAGTCATTATCAGTGTCCTCTCTCTCAGCAATAATATAATTTCTACAACCCCTGCGACAGAGGTGACGGCCACCTAACAAACTATTTTCTCAGACTGTTGCATTGGAAAGCCTGCATGATTTGGTTCTGTCCAGCTAAGTGAAGGGTGAAGTGACGTATACCACCCTTAGGTGTGAGATAAAAAGCCATCTCACGCATTTCTGGCCCCCTCTTCTGCCATGACTTTGTAAACTGTCTTCTAGACAACATGCTGCATGATGGAAATAGTCTGGGCCCCAGAAGTCACCACCAGAACAGCTGCCCAGCCCACACTGGCTGGACACACACCTAAGCTCCTGTAAGTTTAGGGGTCATTTGCCAGCCTTTCCGAACAAATGCAACCATCAGGTCAAGTTACAGCCATTCATTTACCTCTCCATTAGTCAGAGGCCTAAGGTAAAATCCACTAAGGCCATACCTCCCTGTGCAGAACCTCTATGATCATCCTTATTGCATGTGAAAATCACAAGAATAAACATTGTGAGGGTGTCACCTGCTAATAAATGTAAATACTTCACATGCGTAACTCTTAGTCCTCTCTTGTGGTTGGGACAGTTCTTATTCCTATTTCATATATGAAGAAACTGAGGCTCAGACAAGCTAACTGGTTTGTCCAGCCACCCACAGCTGGGAAGGTACCCTAGCTCTGGACCACTCACTGGAGCTCACCACTCTGCTCCCTCATGCCTGCTACATCAGCATCAGGCTTCGCTGAGAACATGCCACACATCAGCTAACCCCATAGGGATTCACAGTGGTCTCATGGGGACACCCCTGATTCATACTGGCTTGTTCTGCTTTAAGAAAAAATTATCACACGGCAAGTGACATCTGGGTAGAGAATGAAATACTCTCACCACTGGGTTGTATCTTTAAGGAGGCATTTCTTCTGCAAACCCCCTTAATTCAGAACCATTTTGAGAAGTCAAGACTGTTAGGTCACTACTGCTTGTGTGCTATTTCAATGTTTTCCTTTTAATATAATTCTACACATATGCAGTCTTAAAATCATATAGCTGATTGTGTGATTGTGTGGAACTTATCAAGAAATATTTACCCCATGAACAATTCAAGCTTGGAATCGCTAATACCCTGACCCTTTCTTGCCCAGATCAGACGGTCTCCACAACTCCAAGGTACATCTTCACCATACTCAGAAGCCAGGGTGTCAGAGGGAGCCAATGCCAATGTCCTAAGACCCAACTTTCTTTTGTGGGAAGATAAGAAACTAAGAGAAATGAGCCAACATCTGAGCCTTAAACTGCAACATTTCTAGACTCTGCATGCTATATCTAGAAACATAAAATTGTATACTTCTGCCATCCTGCTCTATGAATTAACCTTTTCTGTGGTTAATTTTATCTCCTCTGGCTTTAAGGATACTAAAAGTACATAACCTGATACTGTTAGTGAGAAAAGATGTCCTGAATGAACTCTACAAATATAGCTTCTGTGGACCCCACCCACTACTCCAGATACTCAAACTACAACTCCCAGCAACACCAAAGGGAGGAATGAAGGACCCAAGGACGGAGTCAAGCAGCCATTTTGAGACTTTTGGGATAGAAAGGAGACATGTTGGGCTGAGGTGCTCTCTCTCTCTCCCTTGGCCTCAGGCTGGTGGCTGGTCTCTTGGTTCTGTTGAGTGTGCTATTGGGGTTCCAAGTCAAAGGACCTTGTAGGATGCACTGGTTAACTTGTATCTCGCTCTCTCTCTTTTCCCCTGGTTTGTTCCTTTTCTTTTCCCTTTATAAATAAACCCATTATTGACCTTTGTGTGTGTGTGTGTGTGTGTGCAGTGCAGCTGAATCTTAAGCGCATGAGTGAAGACCCACAGACAGGCAACCCAATGCACTTTGGGTCGCCCTGTAACAATAGTTGTGGCCCAAAACTCTCTTTTAAGATCCAGGTCCTTGGAGTTAACCTCCATGAAACTTTCTCTTGGGTTCTCATAGTGTACCCCCAAACTTAGCATAAACACAATGGATCTCTATCTTTATGCCTTCTTTTCTGCTCAGATTTGCCCAAGTTTCTCTCAATGACAGTGCTTCCATTAACCCAGAAGTCACAAGGGACACCAGGGTTGTCCTGGAGGTGTTGACAACCCTCCCATCAAACACCTCCCTGAGTGCCACTGGATTATTCTCTAAATTTGACCCTAATCATTCCCTCAAGTCCAAAGAATGTTCATTGTTCTTTCATCTGGTCTCTTGGAGGACACTCTTCTTCCACTGAAATTCTTTCAATAATCATCATTCATTAACTTAAATCCTATTAGATCATCCTCCTCCCATGACATAGTAGTACTTCAGATTGGGGTGGTAGCCATGAAGATTCTGGAAACTGACAGAGAGAGTACCCTGCCATTCAGTACCTGGCACATATTGGGTTCTCATAGCATTCTGAATGTATGGATGGCTGTCTCCCATGTCTGCCCCTTTTCTAAAGAATGATTTTCTATAGTTATTTTCAATTCCTTCTTGTACCACAAGGCAGAAGACCAGGAGAGTCATACTTTCTTCTGACTAAATACTCCCCTCTCCCATCTTCTGCAACCTCTAATCTTTGGTCTTTCCCCCACTTTTTCTGTAGTTGCTACTTTTATCACATGCTGCTCCAAGAAAAATACAATGTTCCCAGTCGACTCTGCTTTGCTTCCTTTGGAAAGATGAATCAGGGCTTGGCTACATTGACTGCCTATGTTGCTCCCTCACCTTGTCTTCTGAAGAAACCCCAGGGCTTTTCTTACTCATGAACTGAAGCTTGTACACAGCAGCAGAAAGGGAGAGCTGATCCTTGTCAGTTTTACATGCTTCATGTAAGCTCAGAAACCTGAACTCCATCTTTACCAATTTTCTGTGAGCAGAAAGAAGAGCTGCCTGTGCCTGAGAACAGTCACTCCACAGGACAGAACCCTGACTTGGACCAGAGGACTCAAGGTCATGGGGGCGCCAGCTGGTGAGGGGGAAGCAAGGACACAAACAGGATTCTTCTATGAAGCTACTGTGTTCTCTTATCTTTTTAATATATATAATACTTTATGAGTTATATAGTAGAGAACATTGTATTGCTACAATCCACGTTATTCTGAATAATGACTGTGAGCAGAATCACTATATTATTAAGAATATTCTCATCTCATCTTGCAAATATAATCATTGGGCCACTAGACATATTGCACGCACAGGAAGGAGAAACTGGGCTTCAGTCACACTGACCTCTCAAGAAATCCTGGCACCTGACAGTGCCATGGAGCCATCATAAAAATCTCCCTTACTGGTTAAATGGCCAGATCTCAAATCAAAAGTGCAGAATCACACTTTGCTTACCAGTCTCCTTAGGCCTCCAGCTCCCACTGTCTGCTTTCTTCTGCTCCTGCAAGGGTGCTCAAGACCCTTCCTGACCTGGCAGGACAACACAAGACAAAGGCCAGTTCTATCAGGCACTTTTGACAGTGCAACTATTTACAGCTGAGAATGCCTGAATATGTTCTGCTGGGGTGCATGGATGACATTTCGTGCATATTCAATGAGTCTTTCATGTTGCTTTATACCTACTATGGGTTGAATTATAACATCCCCCTCCAAAAAAGTTACTACACTGGTCCTCATTCCCAGTACCATGGATGTGCCCTCACTTGGAATTAGAGTCTATGTACATGTGGTAATGATGATGCCTGGGGTGGTCCCTGATATGACCAATATGACCAATGTCCTTATGAAAAGGTGAGGTTTGGGTACAGACCCACCCAGAGGAATTGTAATATAAAGCTCACAAGGACAACATCCTGTGAACAAGAAAACAGAGACTGGAGAGAGGCACCTACTAGCCAAAGAATGCTAGAAGTGACCAGAACTTATGAGGCACAGATAGTTCCTTCTCTAGTACCTTCAGAAGGAGCAAGGTCATGCTGATACCTTGATCTTGGGAATCCAGAACCCCAAGACATTAAGTTTCTCTTGTTTTAAGCTACACAGTTTTTGGCTTTCAGTCCAGCTGCCTTAGAAAATTAATACACATTCATATTCCCATAACATACATATACTCTAAAGATACCAGAGTAGGCATTAAGCATTTAGATCCCAGTGTTTGACACCTGGTTTGAATTGCAACCCTTCCACTTTCAAACTTGTGACCACAGACAAATTACTTAACACTGCTATGCCTTGGTTTCTACAATAGGAAAATAAAACTATCTCATGTGTATCATCAGGATGCTACAAGAGGAGGCCACCTCACAGGCTTGTTAGAATTCTGAATTGAGCCTTAGTAGGTGTGATAATTAATTGGGATCTTGGAGCACTAGTCAGAGAAAGCCTGTTTCTCATGCAAAATGGAACATGAGACTTGTATAGCTCCAGGAATGGCTTTGTGGCATGTGACTCCTGTTATCACACACCTCGCATTCATATGGATCCCACTCTGATTTAATATTCTGCTGAAACCATCTTGAAGTGATTACTTTTTGAACAAGGAACCCCATTTTCAATTTGCATTGAGCCCCACAAATTATGTAATTGGGCCTGCTGGCTTCTGTAATTCTGTACATGGTTCGACAACTTGTCCACATAAAGCATTTGCTGGAGAAAGTTCTCTTTAGCAGAAGTTAAGGGACTCTCAAGCCTAAACCTTTTCTTGGCCAGAGGGCTTCCTACAGCACCATCCTCTAGTTCTTTCTGTAGGTTGCATTTAAATTCCCAGTGGTCTGTACATCTATCATTTGAATACTACAAGTATTTGTGCTTTAAAACTATTTCCCCTGTGAGAAAATAATACTAATAATGAACAACTATATACCAGAGACATTTTACGGGGTATGGAGTGAGGAGTAGGATCAAAAATGGGAGAAGTGATCTGGTGATGGGAAGCCCATAAGGATTACAAATGAGATAGAAAAAGGCACAAAATGAGGTAAAAATAAACTATTATATTATTAAAAAAAAAAAAACTATTTCCCCTGCAAAAATATTTCCAGCATTTAGGTGGGAAAATAAAGGGAAAGAACTCCTAAACTTTTCTTCCTGCTTCCCCAGCAAGAGCAAGGATCTGAGCTGGTATAACTGCATATGAAATGGCTTCAAAACCTATTAAAGCTTCCTCAAAATAAGACATGCTTTTATTTTTAGCTCAAAGAGATAAATTGGCCTCTTTAGCTACCCTATCTAAGCACCTTACCTAAAATTCAGGAATTTTTCTGCCTTACCTGTTTAATTCAACAAATATTTACAAATGGTCTACTATACACTAACCCTCTTCTATTGATAGGTACTGCAAGACTGCATGGAACAAAACAGACAAAAGCCCAACTTCCCCGATTTATCAGGGGAAGCCAATTGCTTCTTGGAAAAATAAGGCAGGGCATGGACTGGTTGGGTCAGGTGGGCGTGGGTAACTTTGCTGTTTATATGAAGTTGTCAGGTACACCCTTCCTGCAGGAACGGTGGGACAGAACTGGGGATAAGGTCCTGTGAACATCTGGAGCACATCCCAGACTAAGGAAGAGCCAGTGTGGAGGTCAGAGGGGAGCAAGAGGCTGGTGTGGCCAGTGATGGGCAGATGGGAGGTATGAGAGGTAAGGAAAACACAGGTTGTGGAAAAGACTGCCCTTTATTCCACAAGCGATGGATACCAGAGGGGAGAAAGAGTGCAAATATTTTAAAGATCACTGTGAGGGCCTCCCTGGTTGCACAACTGGTTAAAGCACAGCAGCCACTTCAACATGAGTTTGATCCCCTGCCAGGGAGGTGGCCCACGTGGTGCAGCAGACCTCTACCGTCTCTCCAACTGCTTCCCTCAGCAGTGTATTTCAGTAGATCTGCTTGTTCTCTCCACCCTGCCTCTGTGAATCCTCTCATGCTCTGCATCTCTGGCCTACACCCTAGTTCTTCAATGCATACATAGTTTTTTAAATGGAAAAGGACCCCTTTAGATCAATGGTCATGAATCCTTTCACAGTTGTGAACGTCTAGCCAGGTTCATCTGCCTGGTGCGGGCACAGATTGTGTGAGTATATGAGGCAGAAGAGGAACTATTAAGACTGACAGGATTAATGAATTAGAGAGCACAGAGGTGGCTAAACTGAAGCAGCTTTACAAGAAACACAAGATTTCACATTTCTTCAAGATCGAGGCCAAGGTGTACCCTCACAAATGTTCATCTAGCAGAGATTTTGGTCAATGATTTGTCAAAAAATGCTGTCAATTAAAGGGCACTCTCTTTGGTTCGGTGTTGAGCTTTTCATGTGTGTAAAAATGTTTGCAGTCAAACTGTATCATACCCTGGCCCATTTTCCCATCGCTCAGCAAAAAAAATTTTCCTAAGTTTTGTTAAATTAAACAATAATTATATAGTTTGGAATTACCTCAGTTCAGTCAACCTTCAACAACTCTTTTGCTATTGACTGATTTTTATCTGTTTCTAGAATATTTACTTCATAAAAGCACCAAAATCCTTGAGAATACAGCCTTGGTTCTTATGCCAACCTATCTTTTCTTTTCTCTGAGAGAAATGAGTGCTGCTTTCCCTGAAGTCCTTCATACTTTCACTGCATCATCTTCCAGGGAATATATAGGGAAACTATCAAATCTTAAAGACCAAGGAAGACCCAGCAGCTTACATGAACTCAGTGGAGGAAACAGTAGCTAAAATGCTACTTTTTTCTTTTGTATTCAATTACTTTATTTGCGTTTGCATTATTATTGTAGTGTTTTATTGATTCTTATACTAAATGAAAATCACCTCAGGGAAAAACCAGAACTGATTTCCACCTAACATCAACAGTTCGAGTTAGAACTCATCATGATACATCTCTCTTGCAATCTTGAACAGTGATGTTTAAAATCCGACTACACACGCTCCTGCTTTGTTAGCCTGGCTTGTCTCAAAAAGGCAGTGCGAGCACCCTAGACTCAGAAGAGCGGATGCACAAGGTCCTTTTTAGGGGTACAGCACCCGTAGGCGCTACATGCTAAATCACAGCCCCTGGTAATATGAGCTTCTTTCTGAAGCTTCCTGTGATTGGCTCTTTTGCAATAATTTGTAAATCTCACCATCTTGCACCAATGGCAGAGATCCCACTGGTATTTCTTGTGCACCCTACCAAAAGTGGGGGTGGTGACAGAGGCTCAGGATGCATGGACTATGCATAAAGGACTAGGGATAAAAAATAGTAAAAATGAACAACTATATACCAGAGACATTTATGGGGCTGGAATGGAAAATGGGATCAGAACTGGGGGTGGGGGGGAGTGCACTAGACTACGGTGATGGCACACAGGTGATATGGTGATGGGAAGCCCACAGGGATTATAACTGAGATGGAAAAAAGCACAAAATGATGTAAAAATGAACTACTATATTATTTTAAAAAATAAATAAAAAATAACATGAAGGGAAAAAATTAGGCACTTTCTAATGCAGAAGTAGTCCAATCTTTGTATACAACTTTAGTGCTTAGCAAGATGTTTCTTTTTCAAAGGCAATTTTCCTTCTTGTGCATTCCACTCAAGAGTGTCATAATTTAAAATAGTTTGCAGGGTACACAGAACCCAGTTGTGTCACTATATAAACTATACATAGAGCAGAACATGCAGCAAGCACAGTGAAGTAGCCAGAGTCCTGTAGCAACAGATAAATGCATCATTTAAATGCCTGGAATTCAGAATAGTTCTCAGAAGATCATGGAGTTAACATGTTATAAAGCAGGTCAAGATTGACTCTCGATGAACAGCAGAAAGGACTTTGTCTCAGTTTTGGCTAAGTCCCCTAAGGACTGAAAACAAAGAAATAGGTATCAAATGGTGTCCACAAGTGATACCTTAGACTATCTACACAGAACTAGTGAAGGCCAGTTTGGGAACCTGAACCTACCGCCTACCTTAGGTTGTAAAGGTGGCTGACACGAGGGGAGAAAACTCCTTTGAGTCAAGTATGGGAAGATTGTGATATTTTCCTTTGGAAAATTTCACTTCAGTTTCTGGAGCTGGTGGACACAAAGACCAGATCTATACCTAGGGAAGTATAAAAACAGAAAGGGCAGAGAGAAGACAAGTATCTCTGTGGGAAAAGCTGTTCCCCTCAGACTTTCTCAAGGCAAAGCAATGGGCAGAGAAAGTACTGACTGGCCTGGACAGAAAGGCGAGAGCTGCAGACATCCTGGGAAGAGTGATAGGATCCTACATAGAGAGTTCGTGGAAAGTGGGTTACCCAAAACTGGAGACGTAGGATGGACTTGAAGGCGGCAAGCCAGAGGGGGCAGTACCACCATTATGAGAACTGCAGATGAAAACTCAGTGATGGGGCAGGTGGTGGTGGGGTAGAATCCAGGGAACCTCAAAAGCATCTGTTAAGAGAAAGAGTCCGCTGCAAATATCTGTGAAGCCCAGCAAGCAAAAAAGCCTAGCGG